CCTCTTCCCACCACCATCGCCAGCACCACCTATTCCCTTCCCTTCCCGCCCCATCCCCCCGGCCTTCCTTTTCCTCCAAACCCCCACCGGCCACCGTTCCCCGACCTGCATGCTTCCAAGGAATGCTGCTGCGCGCGACCCCAGCGCCCCGGGTGGGTATACCACTGCCTGCCACACCCCACCACGCCCCACCACGCCCCACCACACTGTTAAAAACTGACGGTAAATTTCACCGTAAGCCACAATGAACCCTCCAGCACTGTAGCTTACGGCGAATTTTCAATGTAATGTGCAATAAATTGGCCCTGCAAGCACCACTGAATCATGGTGCAACGCCCTAACTTTCAGCTATGTCCACCGTACTGCAGGGTTCACTGTAGCTTACGGTGCAATTCACCGCCAGCTTCCGACAGTGCACGCCGCGGCGCGTGCACCGGGAGCTGCCGTGCTTATTGCGCGGAGTCCTCATATGAGGCGCTCGTCGAGACGGCAGGTGGAGCAAGCGTTGAGGCTGCAGGGCGCGTCGGGCAAGCGCTCCTTCTTATGACGCACGCGGGTCTCCGAAAGCTCGCCCGTCTCCGGTGCTCTAGCCGCATCTCGCGACGCGAGGCCGCTTTGCACTGTGCACTACAGGGTCCTAAACGGACCGAAACCTTTATACGGTGTCGACAAGAAATCAAACTAGGGACAAGTAACAAAAATTAACATCAAAATTACCGCAAACGCGCCGTCAATTTAAAACGAAAACACTTTTGCAATAGGACATTTTGAAGCAATAGAGTAGCACAGCAGCACCCTGATAAATACTAAAGAATGACGATTCGCCGGGATGAAATGAGAGTTCCGGCAGAAAGAGGAGAGCCTATAGTGTACTGGATGCATTGGTTTGTACTGTTAGACAGGAAAATTCCCCAAAAGTGCTAAATTTTAGTGCCTTTGGAGACTTTCGTGCCTTTCTAAAGGCATTAAAATTTGTCACCTTTAAAAGGCTCTAAGTCATACCTTTGTCTTTCCCGTGCAGTTTTACTGCTTCATTTACAAGCGAAGACGAGAAAACAAGCGTAAGCTCGCAGCAACTCGTACGTCACAATAGAAGGCACCACCTCGCCACGACAAAACAGCCGCAGCCTCAGCCCTGACCTCGCAGTATCCTTCAGAAGCACGGCCTCCAAGATGATAATTGCGTAACGTTTTCTGAGGGAGTCGCCCTGCTCCGCCTGCTCGCTGGAGCGGGCTCGCTGGAGCGGCGGCTCACCTCCTCGGCTGCTGGATAAGGAAACCATTAATTTGGCGGGCGCAGGCTGCGGCAGGAGGGTGGAGGGCGGCAAGGGGAGTTAATTAACCGCCAATACATCGCGCAGTCATTACAGCAATGAAGCCGCCCCATCCCGCCGGGCCGGGCCAAGCACCGGAGCAGGCGAGCGGAGCTCAGTAGGCACTTCTTCGGCGTTTTGTTTTCCTTGTACGTACACACCGACACGTTTTCGGCCAATGCTCGACGTGTGATAGTGGTCATGTTTTGCGAGGTAGTCTCATTTGCATTCCTTATTGCAAAACATGTCAAAGTCTGGTCAAGATGTCCGTGCAACCTTCAGGAAAATCGCATGAGGCGTATGAACATTGGCAATAAAAAGATCCTCGTTATTAAACTATTTAGTTTTACCAGCCGCAGTCGGACACCGCTCATTTTTGTTTAATTTCTGTGACCCAATTTCTTGTGAGTTTAAATCTCTCTCGTCTATGTTTAGGGATTTATATCAGCGAACAGGAAGGTTGAATACTGAAACCAAGACATGCCCTGATCATCAAACTGGGGGAAATAAGGTCCCCGTCGACGCCACCCAACGAGGGAATCAGTGATTTTCGGTGGAAAGTGTCTTTTCGGTTGCAGGCGGCGATAACGGTCTCTCACTCCCTATCTATTCCTTCCTTCCTCATTATACACCTCGTGCGGCTTAAGTCTTGCGGCTCAATCAATTAATCAGATTAGACGAGGCTGTGCGAAGACGGGAGTAAAAGCGCCCGCGCGTGAGAGAGGGAGAAGAGAAGAGAGTAGGAGAGAGAGAGAGAGAGAGAGAGAGAGAGAGAGAGAGAGAGAGTGGGGGGGTAGCCTTGTGTGAGGAATAATGGACGAAGAGGGAAAGGGAGAGACATCACCTTAGGCAGGCTATCTATTCCTGATGTCTCCACGTGCAGTTTCAGGGGCAGCCAAGTGGATGGCGATGGGAGTGTGGGGTGTGGGGTACTTGAGGGGGAGCCACCGGAGGAGCATTTGAGCCATTCACATCGCACCTCAATTCATACGTGTCAAACAGCTGCGAGCCCCCGCATAAGCCGCAGTATCTACCTATCCATCTGAACTATGAGCTCCAGCCGGAGGCGCCCGGGAGGTATGCAACGCGCAGACAGCCGTGCGCGTCGCGTCAGGCGTGGCCTACACACCAGGCGCTCTTCTCGGCACTCCTTTCCTTTCTCTCCCACTCCTCTCTCTCTCTCTCTCTTCTCGCGCTCACTCTCTCGCTCTCTTGTGTATTTTCCTCCTCGCCACTTCCTCTATGAAAGTACACGCACGTCCTACTGGAATTAACTCCTATTCAATTAATCAGCATAAGGAAGCTCATCGTCCTTGGATATTATCATGACAAGACCATCAATTCACGAGGCGGCGGGTGGCCAGAATGGAACGTCTAAAATGTGTTTACCGATATCCACTGTTGTTATGTGTGCGTAGAGAGAGAAAAAGGGGGGACGGGGTAGCTGGCCAGGCATTCGCGAACACGATCATAACTCAAAACACATTTTAGTGATTTGCAGCACCTATACTACGGACTGGCCTCGCCGCCCGCTCGATGCGCGTGTGATTTACACCACATGGGTGTTTTTTCGCCTTGCGTTAATTTTTTTCTTTGTCGAAGGTCCTGCTGCAAAGGGATGTTGTTATGGCTGGTGATTTTACTGCGTGCACACGCGTCGATAGCACACTAAAAAGTTGCGCTTTTAGTAAATGTAAGTGTGACGCATGCAAAAAAAATAAATAAAAAAAGAATGGCATCCAGTTGAAACTCACGGAGAGCCCACGAAACTTTTTGACAGTGTAGAATTACATCATTACACCTATTTGTGGAAACGGTTAATATGACGCGATGCGAGTTAGCGCTGAGGGTGGTGGTATAGGGGTGGTTGGGGTAAAAGAGCTTCCGCTGAACGCGGGCTGGGAATAAAGTCGTCGTGTTGTAATTGAAATTACCCTGTGGGGAACCGGAAGTCGTGGGGAAAAGGGGCCTCGTCGAGTAACGGAAAGAACGGCAAGCAGCCTGATTTAATATCACGCATGTGCGTGTGTGTGTGTGTGTGTGTATGTGTGTGTGTGGTATGACGCGATTCGCCACGCTCCGCCACACCCCGCCGCGCCCCCATGGTCCATAACGCCGCGCCGTGCGACACCCGTAGTAGTAAACACTGGTTATCCGTCCCCGGAACCGGCCAACCCCTGCCTCCCTGACTGCGTGCCTCCCAGTCGAAGGACCCCGGAAGTTGTAGCGGGGATGCGGAACGGAGACTTGAAAAGAAAAAAGGAGAAAATGTTGCTACCGTGTGCCTTTACTAATTTATGCCGTCAACATGAAGCCACGGATCGGGCGCGCTGTGTGGCAATGAGTTGGTCCACCTTCTGTTAGAAAGAGAAGACGCCGGTGATTGTGCGCGTGGGCTTGCCTACTTCCCTTGGGTTACAAAATAACGTCATGTTTATTTTTTTCCCGCAGACCTGAACGAGATCAAGGCCACAACGACGGCGGCGCCCTGGTTACCCAAGGCGCCAAACAAGGGCCCCCAGGGGGCCAAGACTGGCGGCAGGAAGGAGCTGCCGCAGTTCGACTCGAACCTCGTCACCAACGTGACGGTACAGCTGGGCGAGAGCGCCTACCTCCGCTGCCGGGTGCGCAACCTGGGCGAGCACAAGGCAAGTACCTGAGCGGGCACGTGCCCAACGCTTGACGTAACGACGCCCAGTAGCGGACTAGGGCATAGAAAAAAAAAAGCATTAGCTAAATTAGCTAATGCATTCGCTAATATGACCGTAGATTAGAATATTAGCTCTCCTAGCTAATTCTTCGCTAAGAGAGCTAACATATTGGGAGAGCTAATATTCTAATCTAACCGACATGGCCTTAGATTAGAATATTAGCTCTCCCAATATGTTAGCTCTCTTAGCGAAGAACTAGCTAGGAGAGCTAATATTCTAATCTAAGGCCATGTCGGCCATGTATTAGCGAATGCATTAGCTAATTTACCTAATTCTTTTTTTTCCGTGGGCGCCCGGGGCCCAGGCGGGAATTTGCCTACATACAGGGGCAAATTGCCTTGGGGCCCAAGCTCAAAAAGGGACCGAAATGATACCTTTTTAGGGGGGGGGTGGAACTTCCAGCCTTCCCGCCCTGGCCAGTCCACTTCTGACGACCCCACTGCACCGCTAAGGAGGGCGAGGAGGTGAGCGGCGGGCGCTGTGAAACGGCGGCCGCTGCACCGCCAAGGAGGAGGTGGCCACGGTGAGCGGGCTGGGGTGAAACAGCGGCCAA